ACATGCTCCCTTGATATCATTTATGGCGTGTCCCATCAGTTGCATGAATACCACTTGTTTTTTCATGCAGGCTGTTTGTTTGGCTGCCTGTAAGAAGCTGCATGAGATGAATGCCTTCACAGATATGCTTTTACCTGATAGAGGAAGTGGAGAAGGAGAGAAGACCGAACAGAATGAAGGTGATCCACTCCCTGGAACGGCACGCCATAGAGAGTTTTATCCTGAAGGTGTTGCTGAAATTTTGAGAGTAAGTTATTTTTGCTTCCTCGCTCATTATCTCTCTGCATACAAACAGGAACTGGTCTGGACATTGCATCTGCACTCTGTGGCACGACCCGAGATTATCCTCCAATCTCATTCTGATGGATATTTTTTTCTGTGACAGGGAGAATGGATTTTATGTGGAAGAGATGGCTGCCAAAGCACTCAATTTATTAAGTTGTATATGTATTCTGTCAATTGTGTGGACGTAGGGGCATCTAAGGACCCTTTCCTTGCACAACTTTCGAATTTTTCTATTATTTTTGGCAGTGAGTTGGATGCAGAGGTATGTTCCATCATCTGGAATATCCCGAAACTTGAGTAGAGAATGCTGTGAACTAACCATTTCTTCTTCTTCTGATTTTTCAGGTTCTATCGACGCCAATGGATCTCTTTGTTGCCAGGACAATGATAACAAAGGCATCTCTTGTATTCCGTGGACCAATTGAAGTTACAGAAAGTCAGGTTGATCTGCTTGAGAAATTCCAAGTAAATATTCATTCTAAGCGTTTTGGGTTAGTGTAGCTAATACCCTACTTTTGTGATTGCAGCTGGTTCTGCTGAAGAGCTTTCATGTTAGGCTCATGAGCATAGTCCTTGATGTTGATGTTGATCCCTCAACTACACCTTGGGATCCAGCAAAAGCATACCTGTTTGTCCCTGTAGGAACTGAGAAGTGCACAGATGCTTTAAGAGAGATCGATTGGACTTTGGTCAACAGCATTGTGAATACTGATGCCTGGAATAATCCACTTCAAAAGGCACGACCAGATGTCTACCTAGGCACCAATGAGAGGACACTTGGTGGAGATAAGAGAGAGTATGGGTTTGGAAAATTGCGTAATGGAACCGCTTTTGGACAGAAGGCACATCCGACTTATGGTATTAGAGGAGCCATTGCTGACTTTGATATTGTCAAAGCATCTGGATTAGTTCCTTCTCGTGATAGAGGTTATTCAAGTGACTATCAGAATCAAGGCAAGTTGTTCATGGCAGATTCATGCTGGGATGCTAAAGATCTTTCTGGAATGGTTGTCACTGCTGCCCACTCAGGAAAGCGGTTCTATGTGGACTGTATTTGCTATAACATGAATGCAGAAAATTCATTTCCTAGGAAGGAAGGCTACTTGGGGCCTCTGGAATATAGCTCATATGCCGATTACTACAAGCAGAAGTAAGACAACATTTTCTTAAATGCTGAAAAGCAAGATTATTACCCTTTTTTATTTCAGAGAATCCTGCCTTACTTTAGTCTCTATAAGCAATTTTGTGGCAGCACATTGTGACTCATTGTGCTATTTGATATCAGATATGGTGTGGAGCTAGTGTATAAGAAACAACCTCTTATACGTGCACGTGGTGTTTCCTATTGCAAGAATCTTCTGTCTCCTAGATTTGAGCATTCTGAAGGTATTTCCGAGTCCCATCCTGAACATGCCCAACGAATATTGATATTTATTCATTAAAGAAACTCTCATGGAATAACCACAAGTTGGATGGTTTTTATGTCGAACTTTGTGCTACTATTTTTGTGAACCCAGATGTGAGTATTGTGGTCATGCAGTGATGAGTAATTGGCTCTTGTTTTGCAGCTAGAGAAGGTGACTTTTCGGAGAACGTTGACAAAACATACTATGTGTATTTACCACCTGAACTTTGCCTTGTGCACCCCCTTCCTGGATCACTTATTCGTGGAGCTCAAAGGTTGCCATCGATAATGAGAAGGGTTGAGAGTATGCTTCTTGCGGTTCAATTGAAGGAAACAATTGATTATCCTGTTCCTGCAGTTAAGGTACTCTCAACATCTTTGATTGTCCTTAAGAAAATATTGTAAATGCGTCCCGGTAGAATGCTTCGGTACATTAGATCCTTACATTTCCTCTCTTATAATACATTCCTACCATCTAGTTGGATGTTAAGTTTGATGAATACCACGTGAGATGCACGATACACGTAGCTTTATTGTGGCTATGGCTTTGGTAGGTCCTGTAATAAGAATTGATAGAACATGATATAGAGATACCTAAAGTGAGGTGAGATACATGGAGTACCACATGGTTATTGATTACGTGTTTTATTGTTATTTTTAGATCATAGGAAGTCATCGTAAATGCTGGCACAAATGTAAATATTTATTGATACAATGTACATTTACGGGGTAGCATAGTCAATCTATAATGTAGGGTGTATTTGGCATGTTTCCCAAGAGACTCCTTATTCTCTCTGTCTCACTGCAGAAGAGCCAAATGATTTTCTTAATACTAAATAAATGAGAACTTGTATTTGTTAATTCATACTAAAGTTTGTTGGGGTTCATGGCAGATATTAGAAGCCTTGACTGCTGCATCATGCCAGGAAACATTCTGCTATGAAAGAGCAGAGTTACTGGGTGATGCATACCTGAAATGGGTTGTGAGTAGATTCCTTTTCCTAAAATATCCTCAGAAGCATGAGGGACAGCTTACAAGGATGCGACAGCAGATGGTCAGTAACATGGTCCTCTACCAATTTGCCCTGAATAAAACTCTTCAATCGTATATTCAAGCAGATCGGTTTGCCCCATCAAGATGGGCAGCTCCAGGAGTACTACCTGTATTTGATGAGGAGACTAGAGAATCTGAACCGTCCATCTTTGGTGAGGGGTCAATACCTGGTAATGAAGTACAGAAGGATTATGACGATGACTACACGGATAGCATTCAAGAGGAGGGTGAAATTGACGGAGATTCTAGCTGCTATCGTGTTCTCTCAAGCAAGACTCTAGCAGATGTCGTTGAAGCACTTATTGGGGTCTATTATGTAGCAGGAGGGAAAATTGCTGCAAACCACCTAATGAAGTGGATTGGGATTCATGCCGAGTTGGATCCTCAAGAGATCCCTCCTCCGAAGCCATATAATATACCTGAGAGCATATTGAAAGGCATTGACTTTGAGACATTGGAAGGCATCTTGGGTATGAAATTCCAGAATAAAGGTTTTATTATTGAGGCTATAACGCATGCATCCAGGCCATCTTCTGGTGTTTCCTGTTACCAGCGGTTGGAATTTGTTGGTGATGCTGTGTTGGATCATCTCATCACAAAGCATCTATTTTTTACATATACTGATCTACCTCCTGGTCGCTTGACTGACCTGAGAGCTGCAGCTGTTAATAATGAAAACTTTGCAAGGGTTGCAGTTAGACGTAAGCTGCACGGACATCTTCGTCATGGATCATCTGCACTGGAAAAACAGGTTTGCCATACTCCTTTTATTTATGCAGTACGTAGGAAACAAGACACTGTTGATAGAATTGAAGTTTCAAGCAATGCTGACTATTTTCTTCCAATCTTCTGAAGATTCGGGAGTTCGTGAAGGATGTCCGAGAAGAGATTTCAAAATCAGGTTTCAATTCTTTTGGACTAGGGGACTGCAAGGCTCCTAAAGTTCTTGGAGACATTATTGAGTCTATTGCTGGGGCAGTATTCCTGGATAGTGGGTATGACACCTCGGCAGTCTGGAAGGTATTTATTTTAGATATTCTAGATAAACTTTCCTGATAGAAAAGCAACCTAATTTGGAGGAAGCTTGAAACAAACTGCACTTATTTTGCACCAGGTGTTCCAACCGCTCCTTGAACCTCTGGTAACGCCAGAGACCCTTCCGATGCATCCGATTAGGGAGCTCCAAGAACGGTGCCAGCAACAAGCAGAAGGCTTAGAATACAAAGCATCCCGGGCAGGCAATGTAGCTACTGTTGAAGTCTTTGTTGATGGTGTTCAGATTGGTGTAGCTCAGAATCCCCAGAAGAAAATGGCACAGAAGTTGGCGGCGAGGAACGCACTTGTGGTCCTGAAGGAGAAGGAAACCGCAGCAAAGAAAGAGACCGAAAAGGACGGTGATAAGAACAATGCCGGGTTCACCAGGCAGACCCTGAACGACACTTGCTTGAGAAGGCAGTGGCCGATGCCACAGTACAGGTGCATAAACGAGGGCGGCCCTGCTCATGCTAAAAGATTTGTCTACGCGGTCAGGGTCAATACATCCGATCGCGGATGGACCGACGAGTGCGTCGGAGAGCCGATGCCGAGCGTGAAGAAGGCCAAGGACTCTGCCGCGATGCTTCTCCTCGAGCTTCTGAACCGAAGTTTCCCTGAAAAGCCTGACGGTAAGAAGTGATAGGTATTAGTGTTGTTGGTGATCGTTGTGGTGGTGTTGAGACATTCGGCATTTTTACACAGCATAGATTCATTACCCATTCAGTGCTCTTCAGCTCTGGCAAATAAGAAGATAGATAGACAGGCAGAGGTGACGAGTGAGAGCAGAGGATACTTTTACCAACCTAGTTGAGGCCGCTGGATGTCGTTAGAGATTTATTTACTGATGAGGCGGGATAAATAGGAGTCTGCAACAGCAGAAATGGTAGTCTGATATAGGATAGACAAGTGGAGGCCTCTTATTCTATTGTACTGTATCATATAACTTGCAAACATGCATTAGATGATTGATCCAATAGTAGAATTCTGTGGAATTTAATTGAAGACCATAGGAACTCCATTCTGAGGATTTCAATTGACCACTTGAAAGAGGAACACTAACATGTCTCGAAACTGACAACATATGGTGCAGCGTCCACGTACGTTTGGTAGAGAGAAGAAAAGGATTCAAATCCACGGCAAAACACACGGCTACATGATGGATACGACACTCCGGCGGGGAAACATCCCGGCCGGACTTGGAGAAGATGGAAGCGAAGAAGGCTAGGCGGTGAGCTCCATGATGGCGCTGACGATGTCGCCGTCGTGCGCCTTGAGGGCCTTGACGGCCTTGGCGCGGGAGACGCTGGCCTGCGTCATGACGAGGTCGATGTCGCGGGCCTCGATGCCGGTCTCGTCCACCACCTCCTCCTCGTCGGCGGGCGCCCCGGCCGCCGCCGCGTCGGGCCTCATCGCCTTGCTCAGGTCCTGCATCCTGAACTGCTGCGCCGCCTGCGCCTGCAGCTGCGAGCTCAGGTCCTCGATCTTGGCCTCCCCGAAGATCACGTACGTCTCCGACGTCGGGCTCTTGAACACGTCCGGCTTCGACACCACGAACAGGATCTGAACCGCGCAGTTACACACATGCATCAGTCCAAGATTTTAACTAACAACACGCATGAATTAACAATTTAACATGAACAATTTACTTTATATAGAGGAATTTCTTCTTACGTTCTTGGCTCTCTTGATGGTGATCCTGCTGACGCCGGTGACGGGCTTCATCCCCAGCTTCATCATGGCCTTGCGGCTCTTCTTCTCGCTCCGGCTCTGCTTCGACCCCTCGCTCCCGGCCACACCCAGCTCGCCTTCACGCACATCAAAACTGCGTCAGACCCTGCCTACGTACGTACTACCTCGTCTGTTTATTGGTCCAATTGTAATCTATGCCAAACTTTGATAATAAATTTGACTAATAATATGTTCATGCATGTCACAGAAATTTTTATCATTGAAAACTATGTTCAAATACGAATAAAATGATATGATTATTGTTGACATGCACTAATATTTTGTCAGCTAAATCTTTGGTCAAATTTTAACACAAATTTCAAAGAAGACTAATAAACCAGGATGGAGATAGTACTCCCTAGCTGCAACTCTAGCTCATCTACCACCACGTACCAATAACTAATTCAACGTTACATGGCCACTCACTTCCGATAGCTAGTAAACAAAAAACCAGCCAGATTACAGTGCAAAAGCAGAGCTTGCATGAACTGTCTACCACGTTTCTAAATCACGGAATCTTCCTAACGGAAAGAAGATGGAATGGAACGAGGTGAAAATGCAAAAAGGGGGCAGGAGATGGTTACCGTCTTCATCCTCGTCGTCCTCGTCGTCATCCTCGTCCTCCTCCTCCTCCTCGTCACCGTCGCCCTCCTTGACGTCCTCGACGACGGGCGCGCCGTCCTCTGCGGGCTCCTCGGCCTTGATGACCTCCGGCGCCGCGTCGCCGCTCTCCAGCTCCGGCTCGGTGGCCACCGGCGTCTGCTCGCTGACCATGGTGAGCTGCTGCGAGTGTTGGTGCAGGAACGAGCGTGCTGCTGGAGTGAGGATAAGGAGTGAGAATGGAGAGCCGAGGCCGATCGAGAGCGGCGCCGGAGGCCTTATCTATCCGCTTGCGCTCTGTTGGGCTGGGCTGGGCTGGCTTTACTGTAGCAGGCCCTCATCATTATGCTGGGCTAGTTGCTTCTTCTGGTGGTAAAGTCGGCCTTCCACGCCTAGGCCATGGAGTAGAGTGGCAGGTGATCCCGCAGAAATCCTTATTCGGCGCCATAGTCGTCTGTGCACTTAATTGGTGTTTATGGTGGACTTCTCGGAAGGCACTTCTGTGCACAGACTACAAAGCTAATACAGCACATTTGGGAGCACAAATTAGTTTCCTTGGGGCACTAATTAGTAGACTTGGGAGCACAAGTGTGCTTCCTTGAGTACAGTGCTTCATTCCTATGGAACACAAGTTAGTTCACTTGAAAGCTCAAGTTAGTACAGTATAGGACAAATTAGTTCACTTTGTGAGCATAAATTTTGTCCAAATAAAGTTTCATTAAAACTTATCAAGATAGGATCTAGTTTTAAATATCTCGACACAACAAATGCAATGGATAAAACGGTTTGTCATTTGGACGCACGGTTCATGAGATGTTTCATTTTGAAAACCGGATTTATGAAAGAAAAAAAATGCATAGCCAGCCTCACGCCCCTCACCCACGGATGAGAAAGCCCATCAAATATCTCTGGTGGTGACAAGTGGCACATATGAGCTGCGTCACATGTCATTATCAGAGGAGTTTAAGGTAACCTTTGCAAAAAGTTCCCTTAAGTAGTCATTTTATATTTCCTACTACGGCAAATTGCCAGACATACGCACAGGATGGGACGACACTCTTAGATAATCTAGTTTTTCTTTTGCTTTATTACGTTTTGTTTACTCTTTCTGTTTCCTTTCTGATTTTTTCTCTCCTTTTTATTTTTTATTTGCAAAAGAGCTTTTCAATAATTTGAAGAATTCATAAATTTCAAAGGATGTTCTTTCTTAATAAAAAATACCCACTTCCCCAAAAACTATTTTCATAGTTTTCACAAAATATTGCAAAGTTTTCTAAAAGCTCACAATCTACTAAAAAACATTTAGTTTTTCTAAATCTTTCCAAAAATTATTTTTTTCTACAAAGTTCATAATTCTAAAAATTATTTATCAAAGTATAGAAAAAATTAATCAAAATTGAAAAAACATGCCACTTTAGAAAACATTTATGTTCTTTTGGAAAACCGAAATACAAAACTGACCAACAATAATAAAAATAGAAATTACCTTTTTTAAATAAATTAATGAACTTTTTCCAAATTCACGTACATATTTTAAAATTCCTGAATGTTTTTCAATTCAAGAATTTTAGAATTTTTAAAAACAAAATCATATCCACAAATATTATTTCAAAAATCGTGAACATTTTGACAGTTTGTGTACTTGTTAGCCCCAGGGACATTTTTTGAAATTTATATGAAAACCGTACGCAACTTTGTCTAAACCATCGAATGAGAAAATAACGAGTAGCCGAGACAACAAGCGAACTGTTATGGGACGCAGCCCGCAAGCATCCAGGCGAGCACTATGATAGCAATTCGATGTGTTAAGTGTCGATAGGAGGCCCCTAATCCTACCGCCAGAGCTATTTCTTTCTCGCTACGAGACTTAGGCCCCGTTCGGTATACATGTTGGAAACAAAGGAATATAAAAAAGTACAGGAATGGAGTTGGCTGCACGATGCAATCCCTTGTGATCCAAAACAAATAAATGGGAAAAGGAGAGGTGGTCGGTTCATTGGAAAACTTCCTGAGGTGTTCATACTAGTAATGCCACAGTATAATTATTTTATTCATGGCATGCCCGTTTAGCTTCTCCCATTGCTATGTGAAAGTAATCTTTTATTCTGCTTTGCATCGTGTCTGCCTCGGCCTCCGCCCAAAGAAGAGATTGCCAGATTTACACAATCCTTTGGAATGACCATTGTGAGGGAACCTTTTCATAGGAATACTGTAAATGTCTCATTTGATCCGAACGCTACGGCGGTGACCTTATTCACTTAATAGTGGAAATCCATGTTTATGGAAATATCGATAATTTGTTACCGAGCCCATTGGCCGCCTCCTCATCTTTTCCATGATGAAGTTGTATGAGTTGTTCTAGAAGTTTGATGTATATTACACAACTTGTTTTTTAGACTCGTGTTGGGCCCCCAAGCACAGAGTTTTGTAGGACAGTAGCAAATTTCCCTCAAGTGAATGACCTAAGGTTTATCAATCCGTGCGATGGTCTTTCTTAAACAACCCTGTAACCAAATAACAAAAAGTCTCTTGTGTCCCCAACACACCAAATATAATGGTAAATTATATAGGTGCACTAGTTCGACGAAGAGATGGTAATACAAGTGTAGTAATGATAGTAGATATTGATTTTTCATTTTTGTAATAGGAACAATAAAAAAAGGCAAGGTAGCAAGTAATAAAAGTGAGCACAAATGGTATTGCGATGCTTGAAAATGAAGCCCAGGGTTCATAATTTCACTAATGCAATCTCTCAACAATGCTAATATAAATGGATCATATAACCATCCCTCAACATGCGATGAAGAATCACTCCAAGGTTCTTATCTAGCGGAGAACATAAGACGAGATTGCTTGTAGGGTGTCGGTGTTGAAACCGGCGGATCTCGGGTAGGGGGTCCCGAGCTGTGCGTCTAAGATCGATGGTAACAGAAGACAGGGGACACGATGTTTACCCAGGTTCGGGCCCTCTCTATGGAGGTAATACCCTACTTTCTGCTTGATTGATCTTGATGAATATGAGCATTGCAAGAATTGATCTACCACGAGATTGTAATGGCTAAACCCTAGAAGTCTAGCCTATATGATTATGATTGTAATTGTTGCCTCTACGGACTAAACCCTCCAGTTTATATAGACACCGGAGGGGGCTAGGGTTACACAAAGTCGGTTACAGAGAAAGGAATCTACATATCTGAATCACCAAGCTTGCCATCCATGCAAAGGAGAGTCCCATCCGTACACGTGAAGAAGTCTTCGGTCTTGTATCTTCATAGCCCAACAGTCCGGCCCATGTTAATAGCCCAGACGTCCGAGGACCCTCTTAATCCAGGACTCCCTCAGTAGCCCCTAAACCAGGCTTCAATGACGAGGTGTCCGGCGCGCAGATTGTCTTCGACATTGCAAGGCGGGTTCCTCCTCCGAATACTCCAAAATTGTCTTCAAACACAAGAATCGTGTCCAGCTCTGCAAAACAAGTACCACACACAACCGGAGAGTATGATATTTCACGAGTCCAATCTGCTGACAACTTTTCGCATCATGACATCACGTCACCGCCCGGTCATTATTTGAACCGTTTTTTTAGCCTGCCGCTCCATATTTCGAGATGCAGTTTTATTGACACGTCTTGTCGAAGCAGAGATCGTGTCCCCTTATTGCGGGATCCTCATCAATACGGGTATGGGTAACCCAACCGTGCCGCCTGTACGACCCTTGGGGAATAGGCGAGTTTTAAGGCAAGTGGGGAGGCGCATAATATTCACTGCCTCTATAAAGGGATAAGGATCCACCTTTTTACCCACGCCTTCTCTCATTCTCTGCCTCCCCCATTCTCGAGCTCCAGCGCCCAAGTTCTCATCTTCTCAACCCCTAGAAAGCACTCCAGCCATGTCTGAATCCGTAGCGCGGGGCAAATGGATGGCCTCCTCCGTCAAGGGGAAGGACATTGCAAAGCTTCGGGAGGCCGGGTACTTGGCCAAGGAGATCGCCCATCGGCTTCCGGCCGCGAGACAGATCATACCCACCCCCGAGCCCCATGAGAGGGTGGTGTTCATCTCCCACTTCGTCCGCGGGCTGGGATTCCCTCTCCACCCGTTCGCCCACGAACTCATGTTCTACTACGGCCTGAACTTCCATGATCTGGCCCCAACTCCATCCTCAACATCTCGGCATTTATTGTCGTGTGTGAGGCCTTCCTCCGCATCCCACCTCATTTCGGGCTATGGTTAAAAACCTTCAATGTGAAGCCGAAGGTGGTGAGCGGTCAACAAGCAGAGTGCGGAGGTGCCATGGTGGACAAGATGCCCAACGTCAAATGGCCCGAAGGCTCCTTCATGGAGACGGTCAAAGGGTTGCAATCAAAGTGGTTCTACGTCACAGAGCCACATGGCACCACCTGGGCCGCGGCTCCCACATTCCGGTCTGGAGTCTTAATGCGGCTCACCTCTTGGCAAGAGAAGGGCCTGGACTGGTCTTCGGCGGACGAGCTGACAGTGCTTCAAGCGTGCGTTCAGAATATGATAAACAAGAATATCAAGCTCGTCAATGTGATCCAGGTGATGCTGGTTCGCCGGATCCTTCCGTGCCAGCACCGGACTTCCCGTTTGTGGGAGTATGAAGCGGCCAAGCACCAGACCCTGCTGAAGTTCTTCGGCACTATGCATGAAGACATCTGGAAGGTGCTCTTCAAGGCCAACGAGATGCGGCTGGACACCGCCGAGGACCGTGGGCACGATTTGGCCCACTCCGCTAGTTCGGTAAGTGTCTTCAAGGTGTTTCCTTTACTTGCATAGTCGAGGAAGATGCTTAAGCCTCCCTATTAACTTTTTGAGGCCTGGGCAAAGAAGGCGGAGAGGATTTACTGTCCAGCTCCGCTGCCCGAAGACCCCAAAATCCCGCTTCTCACGAAGATGCTGGTTCCGGTGCCCTATCAAGTGCCGGAGAAGAAGGCTAAGGGGACTAGGAGTGGTCTCCGTCACAAGGGCACTTCGGACGCGATGTCCGAAGACGCCGAGGCTCACTCCTTCGCCGCCGAGGACGACGAGGAAGAGGATGAGGAAGAAGAAAATCGTTCTCCCCCGGCCGAGGGAGGAAGAAGAGGACGGCCTCCACGCGATTGGAGGCGGAAGCGTCCAAGAAGGGGAAAGCTTCCCATCCGGACAACTCCACCGCGG